GCTCGGCTCTTAAACAGAGCCGAAGAGTCAGGGGAGGAGCAGAGCAGCCGTGGGAGGGGAAGTGCCCGGCCGGCATTTTCCCGGACATGTTCGGCTTTTTGGCAATTCCCCCCGGACGGGGGTTGATTGCCGAAAAGCCGGACATGTCTGGGAAAAACTGGATGTATGGTAACCCTAAGCTACGCTATTCGCGTAGCTGAAGTTGCGTATCTTGGATCGAATTACCTGGGGTCCACACAGTGCGGGATTGACGGCCGCGGCTCCCCCGTCGACTGCGCTACTGCCGCTCGCTCTGGTGGAGTTCCGGATAAATCGATTGCTACGCACTGATACGGTGGGTAGTGAAGCCGTACCCACAGTTTCTCCATGTAGCATGACCCATGTGAGGTTGCAGAAGCAAACGGGTAAGAGACCCTTTCCTTGGAGTAAATATCCCTCCATCAATCAAGGCCTCTGTCCTCTATTAGGAGTCTCTCTTCTTCCTCTGTTAGTACAGACGAAGGCAGAAGGGGCTAGAACAGATGCTTCTGTCATGTGCGTCCTAGTTAAACTCTGTTGCTGGAGCCAATTGGCTCCAATCTACTGCTTCCTACTCAGCTTCTCTGTGAGGAGCCCTTTCTTAAACCTTCCCTCCCTGCTCTAGCAAGGTGGGTCTAGCCTGTGCCCCAACTGCAGCAGCAACGCTTGGGCAGAGCTGTCTTGCGTTAGCACTAAAGCTGTGGGCTGGGGGGTAAATAACCCAGCGCTTGCTGTAGCTCTTAAGCTTTGGGTATCTTTTCTTCGGTTTTAAGAGCATGCTTGACACGAGTTGCTCCCTTGTAGTTCAAAACTGGGCCACAACCTCAAGCCTGGCTTGCTTCAAATCAGACCCTCCCGGCCTTCCACTGTGCCTATCGACCTGGGGCAGGGAGCGTCTATCCGTGCCTCTCGAGGAACGCTGTTGCAGGATGCTAGACGCTGAAACTGAACAGCAGCAGCTGGGGCTAGACTTCCACAGAGCCTGAGCGCTCCGAGCACATGAAGCTGGGATTTAGCCCTCCTGGGTTAAATATGCAGCAACGTCAGGCTCTTGGTGTCTCCGGAGGGTGCCTGCAGTTAATGGACCCTTTGGCCTTCATGTGTCGGTCGCTAGGTTTACCATGTGGCTACTGCCACCTCCCTGGGCTAAGGTGAAGATAATGTTGGAAGCAGGGCCCGTGGGGTCAGAGTGCTAGAGCACCCTGGGAAGGAAATGAGTCAGTGCAGTATTGAGACCGGGTGGTAAATAAGTCCTGAGCCTACTCACCGAATGAGGACAAAACACTACTCCCGTGCAGCGGGCTCCAGTCCAGAACACTCAATGTCTGGGCACCCAAAGCTTCCTTCTCTGGGGTACTTGACTTTACATCCCAAATTGCTCCTTTAAAAGGATTTATTTCCCCAATTGGTTCCCCTGGAGCATCTGAAAAAATCAGATTGACCCCTTTCCTTCCCCCCCCCCCGATCATCAGGGTTTGTTCAGGGCTTTACATGCACAACACACCCTTACTCACCCTTGCCCTAATAGTACTGGTAAGAGGAGCAGGCTCATGTCCTCTGGATCAACCACAAGACTGGGATGTTGGTTTGACAGGAAGGTGGAGATGTTGATGTTCTATAAGGAGTTGTTGGCAGTAGCTACTGCTGTGGTGCTCTGCTCTTGTTCGATGCTGATAACAGTCAGCTGCGTATGTGTTCCCTCTGTGTGCTGCCCCGGCTCTGCGCAGATCGCTGACACCGCAGACCCCGAGAGAACCTCCAAAGACCACAGACTCTAGTAAGGTACGAAGGAACCAAGCCAGGTTTATTGTCCAACGAAGCACAGTAATAGTTTCCTGTAGACTCTACAAGACATACTACGAATTTGTGCCCCCTGGCAATGGACCAGCTCAGTCAGTGGTGGGACTATCCACTGCTCCGTAGGCCAGACAAAGATGCGCACTCCGGGACCTACTTTTATACAGTTACAGGACAGATTACTCATCCCTACTGATGTATTGAGGTACAGCCCCTTGGCTCATTAGGGTGCTGTCTCCCCTTTGATCATGTTTCAAACAGATCTATCCATCATGCTGTCCTTTTGCCCGTCTTTAAGATGCACCTGCCTGTTCCTTGTTATCTCTGTGGAGTGTTCTGATGCCATCTTGGCACAAGTTCCTCTTATTAGCACTTACGTGTGAATGCACCTGCTTCTAACAACCCTCTTCTCTCCAACTTCTGTGAGCGGGGCCTGCCTCTGGCTCACAGCCCAGCTTTTGCTTAGCAATGCCTGGAAGTACTTTGGTTCAGGCTTCGGGCCTCAGACACAAGAGTTTGTGTTTCAGGGCCTCATCTTACTACAGGAGGCTTGTGCTGCTAGCTCTCTTCCCTCCCCTCCTCCATGTTGTGTGGCAGCCTTGAGCACAGGAGAGACAGTAATCGCTTTCAGTTCCTAGGGCCAGGGGCAGAAGCAAGTGCAGGGAATGTCCGGTTCACCCCCTGCTGCCCTAGGATAGAGCATGCTCAGTACAGAGACTCTTTGAAGATACATGGCTTTGATTTGCTGTTACACAGCTGGTTCTTGCCTTCCATGGGCTGCTGTGGGACAAAGCAGGGCTGGCTTACAGGGCTATGAGCTCTAGCCCCTTTGAGTGAACTGGAAGTACAGACCAGCAGCTATAAATCACTCCACATCCTCTCAGCTGTTGCCTTAAACAAACCAACCAGGGGCTGGATTTAGCCTGTCACTTAACTCAAGTTCTAGGCTTGACTGTGAATGAGCAAGGTAACACTAGAGGTCAATGTCTCCCACCCACAAACCAACAGAGGATTTGCCTTCACTCTTCAAAGCTGTTAGCAAGTCTTCTGTTCTCTAAGAGAAAAAGCATCTGCCACAACACCACCTCTCCATCCCAAGGTCTCCTTTTTTCATGGGCTGAGGCTTTTTGTTAAAGCCCCTAGAGAGGGAGCCAGGGGCTAGTTCAGTGGCATTACCAGCTGCTAGAGCCAGCACTTTCCTAGTGCAACCTCCAGCACTAAGTTTGCTTTATTGCAAACAAATTCCCTGCTCCTGTAGTGCTTACCCAAAGTTCACTTCAGAGGGGGTCTCTGCCATTGCTGCTCTGGCAGGGGGATTAAAGAACCAAGGCACCTGTCAGGCTTGCGTGAATTCTGCGTGACAGGGGATCACTAGTGGTGAGAACTGTCACTGTAGCATGGGCAGCAGTATTGGGGGAGGGCCCTGTAGGGCTCCCTGCATGAGTGGAACCGGACTTGCAGCAGTTTCATTCCACGTTGGAGCTGCATGGGTGCAGTGGCCCAGCACAGGCTACACCCATGGAGTAGTGCACAAGCCTTGCCAGCACTTCTGCATGTGCACTAATGCACAAGTACATGCATGGAAAACTAGGGTGATCTAGTGTAATGTTGGTGAGACTCAGGAAACAAGATAACTGCATTGACTACTAAAGCATATGCTTCAGTGACACAAGCAATATCCTAGGACTGGAAGAGACCTCAAAAGGGCATCTAGTCCAGTTCCCTGCACTCATGGCAGGACTAGTCTCTAGACCAGCCCCGAGAGGTTTGTCTAACCTGCTCTTAAAAATCTCCAGTGATGAAGATTCCACCACCTCCCTAGGCAAGTTATTCTTATGCTTAAGCACCTGACAGGAAGTTTTTCCTAATGTCCAACCTCAACCTCCCTGGCTGGAATTTAAGCCCCCTGCTGCTTCTCCTAGCCTTAGAGGTTAAGAATATTTTTTTCTCCCTCCTCCTTGTAACAACCTTTTATGTATTGAAAACGGATGTCCCCTCTCAGTCTTTGCTTCTGCTGGCTAAAACCAATTTTTTTCAATATTCCTTCATAGGTCATGTTTTCTAGATCATTTTTGTGGCTCTTCCCTGGACTTCCTCCAATTTGTCCACATCGTTCCTGAAATGCGGCGCCCAGAACTGGACACAATGCTCCAGTTGAGGCCATATCAGTGCAGTGTAGAGCAGAAGAATGACTTCTTGTGTCTTGCTCACAACAATCCTGCTAATACATCCCAGAAGGAGGTTCGCTTTTTTTGCACCAGCGTTACTGTTGACTCTCATTTAGCCTGTAATCCCCACATCCCTTCCTGCAGTTGTCCTTCCTAGGCAGTCATTTCCCCTTTTGTATGTGGGCAACGGATTGCTCCTTCCTAAGTGGAGTTATTTGCCTTTGTCCTTATTGAATTTCATCCTATTTACTTCAGACCATTGCCCCAGTTTGTCCAGATCATTTTAAATTTTAATCCTGTCCTCCAGAGCACTTATAACCTTCCAGCGTGATATTGTCCACAAACTTTATACACGTATTCTCTGTGCCATTGTCTAACTCATGGATGAAGATATTGAAGAGAACCGGACCCAGGACCAATTCCTGCAAGACCCCACTCCTTATGCCCTTCCAGGTTGACTGCAAACCACTGATTCGTTCCCAGAGAGTAGTTGAGTTCTGCCCTGGTAGCTTCTAGATCTCAGCAAGGGTGAGGCCTTAAAGGATTTAAAGACAAGGACTCCTCCACTCCCAATTCTGCTTTCACACAGGCTACGTCTCAGCCACATAGGGACAATACCTACCTCACAGGCGCATTCAGAGGGTTGGTTGCAAGGGACTGTGCTATTAATGCAATAGCCCTGAAAGATTTTTTTAAAAGGATATTTATTAGCAGGTGCAGATATTAGCATGCAAGACAGTGGGATGGAGCAAGACTGCATCAGGACTCAGACTGATGAGGTTCAAACTAGAAGCAACTTTAAACAATGCAGAATTATTTCTAATCTTGCAACACTAGCTTCTGTCCTAAATCCGTAATGGATGCTAGTAGCATACTTAATAAAAGGGTAATACCAGGAGGGTTGGGGCCACTATGGACAGGCAATGGGGGGGTTTCATATTAGGTTTTCAACCAAAGTAGGAAACCAAACTTTGGGCTATAGGAAGCGGCTTTCAGAGCTATCCTTGAGTAACACACTTTAACCCTACTCTCAAGAGCTGTGTGCTTAGATCCTTGGATAAAAAGGTGCTATAGGGCACGTAAAATCCCTCAGTAAGAAATGGGTTTAGCATCTACCCCATCTCCCTCAACACAGCAACGACAGGTCCACTGCTGTGAAGCGATTGAGTTGAATGCTGCACACTTGGCCAGGGTAGAGACAGAGCCAACACAAATGGCAAACACCAGAGGAAAAGGAGAGGCTAAGGGACAAAAGCATGTGATTTGGACAGAGGTTTTTTTTTATTGGATCTTTAAAAAAAAAAACAGCAAAACACTGACAAGGTCCATAAATACAGGCAAGTACATCTCTTGGTCAGCCCTTCGGCCTCCCGCCAACCCAGCACAGCTTCACAGCACAGGATGTTGGCACTGGGGAAAGAAGGGGTGATCACCAATTACTGCATGCATAGCAGACTCCCACACTAAACACATGAACAGGACTGGGGTGCACCAACAATGTCAGGCAAACACAGAGGCTGGCCAAACGCTCCCCCCCCGGAAAGAGGGCACTAGTTCACACCTCAACACCACATAAAGAAACTGCATTTACACAGCAGACTTTCCCCCTGTTCGTCCCCTACGGCGAGGGGAACTTCACACTGGACGCTGCATCCATCCCGAATAGCACGAGAACATTGCCCTTGGGTCTACTAGTGTCTAGAACTGGCTGCCGATGGCTTTTGATCAAAGGGGGGACAGGGACAATGCAGTGGAGGATTAAAAAGCATCAGATTTGATTAAAAAAAAAATCACATTAACAGTTCCCCCCTCACCCACGAGGCTCAGTCCCCATGTTAAAGTGGCAATAAATGGATCGAGGCAGAGAGAGGGAGCATGCAATTGAGTTCGTGTTGTGTGATGAGAACTCAAGACATTTTACAGCAAGAGACCTATGGCCAGCACGCGTTGTAAACATGGGGGGAGGAGAACAGCTCCTGCGTCCTGCCTTGTTCTAGGCTTGGAATATCAGTGCAGGAAAGAAGAGCGTTGGGTTGTGTAGCAATCCCCTCAGAGCTGAATGCACGTTGGCCCAGCGCTCTCCAGGGCTCTGGTACTCGACTGTTTCTGCCCAGAGACGCAAGTCGAGGCAGAGCCTGCTTGGAGCAGAGCAGTAACTGCTAGTCAGCCTGGCTCCAAGGGAACCACCTACAGGATTTGAAGCAACACACTTGGAATGTAAAGAGATCGACATGACAGCATCTCTCGTTATTTCCCCAGGAGACCTCCATTCAGAGGAGCTGTAATGGTCACAGCACGGCTCTGAGAAAGTCTTTGGCATACGGTCACCTATGCTTAGGACTTGGGTTATTTTAGTTACACAGGAGACCGAACCCTGCGGTCATTACTCAGGGCTTTTTCCCGCAGGAAAAGCCAAGTAAGGACTTCAACACTGGACCTGTTTTACACATCAGAGGCTTGCTTCAGAGGTGCTGAGTCCCAATCCACACTCAAGCCGTTAGCTGGGGGAACTCTGCATCACTTGAGGGGGGTGGGGGAAGAAATAGGCTGCAACGCTTACAACCCTGGTTCTTTAAGCAATGGCAAAGCCCAGGAGTTGGGGGTTATTCGCTCCTAACATGTAGAAACAGCACCAACCAACTGGCGTTTACCGGAGACTGAATTAGCCAGTCTATCTGCCTCCGCTGGCCTAGCAGCAATACTTATCTCCTGAAACAAAGCAAACTGGGAAACTGTCCCACCTCCCTGGGAAGGAAGAGCAAGAGCAGTGCTTGGAATCTGTTCTTCACGGAGATGTGGCAGGAACGTATCCTCCCCGTGTACAATGCCACTAACTCTTTATCAGGCTCCGTAGAACTCCCCCCAAAACAGGCCCTGCTCCAGCTGTTCACAGCGTTTGGTACCAGGCCGTTTTCTAATGTGACAAAGTTCATATTGCTTAGAGACAATGATGGCTTTTATTACTCCAATCCTCCAGATAAACCAGAAAAGCTGAAAACAAGCAGGAGCTCACAGGGGAACGGCGAGTCTTTAAAGAGGCACAGTCGAAAAAGCAAAACAGTCATCGGGAGGTGGCGAGAGTTCAAGAGTCTGTGTTTGTCCCAGAACAGGGTCACCTGTTTCAGGCAGCACAGTGAAGCTGTCAATTACCACAGGGGAACCGAACCCTGGACAGTGGAAATGCCAGGCAAGAATTACTGACCTGTGATTATAAAACACAAGGTCTCTATTTAAGCCTGCGCAGGCCCGCTTTACAGACTCGGTTGGTTGGTAAAGCTTTGCTGTTCGCTTTTAAACGCTTAAGCCACTACACAAAACTGCTCCAAACAGCTCACCCATCAAGGCGGCAAACGAGGCTTGGAATTTGGGAAGAGAGCCTGTTCTGTTGACAGTTACAGGAAAGGAGGTTTTCTCCTGACAAGCAGCAGGACCAAGCAAAGGAAGTTAGCAGCAATAGGAGGGAGAGGAAAATGGAGCTGAAACCGTTTGATATAAAAGTGTTTCAACCACAATTATTTTACTATGCGGGAAAAATGTTTCTCGGCAGTATGCGGCTAGTTTTGCAGTATTTCAAGTCCTCTTATTCAGCAGATTAAAGGACTCGTCTTAACCCTGTCCCTTCACATACAAGCACTAGTTTTATGGTTGGAAATACCCAGTATTGCAGGGTGGGTTTCCAGTCACATTTCAGAGCTCACTGGAAAGTACAGTGCTAATAAAGGATACAGTTCTCCGATTTCAGCAACTCAGATGAGACTACTGTTCTCAAGTGGAGAATCACTGTTGCTTCATTTTATTTTGAGGAAGCGGAAGGAGATGCAGGGAGACCATCAAAGCATTAACAGATCAGACTATCAGTCTGCGATGGAGAGGAGGATATGGGCTCAATCCCTGATGTTCTTAGCATGAGCCAACTCCCACGGAAGTCACTGGGAGAGGAGGGTCCTCAGCTGTAGCCCCGGGAGCTAGTGTAGAAGAGGTAAGTGAACATGACCCCAAGTTTCAAAGTGCAGTAGGGACCTACGTCTTAGCTTCACCAAAACGCTACATACCACACGCCATCTGGTCGCATTGACCGTATTGCGCTTCGAGATCTGCGGTAAAAGAAGCTTGCAGTAGTGAAAGTCGATTACAACGACTGCAAGAGGCAGGGGTAGATTTGTGTTGCTTCCAGTGGCGCTTTAAGTCAGTAACGGCATCGGCAAGGCACATCACAAACATTCTTAGGAAGGCCAACGTAAAGCAGCTGACAAGAGCAACTAGAGCAGGAGTGTGCGTGTATATAGATCCACTACATCCCTCTTCACGCTGCCTCTGGAATTGCTGGAGGAGTGGAAGAGCGCTCAGGCGAAGAAGCACTGGGGAAGAAGGAGCCAGCACTTGTGCTACGTAGCCACTCGAACACGATGCTCTTGGTCAAACGGGAGACCCTAAGGCTTGGTGTAGACGTGAGATCTTTGCAAGAGAAGACGAGAGCCACCAGAATAAGGCCAAAGGGAAAGTCTCAAGTGGATGGAAGCTGAACGGAAGCATTGGGTCAGGCCTCCAGAGAGCTTTCTGGAGTGGGGCTAGGAGAAGAGCCTCAAACGTCTTTGTGAGCTCTCTCACACACGGCAGCCTTGGTCACTGAAAAGGGACTGCGAGCTCAGGAACTGAGGGCTCACTAGCTCGACATCTTAGGCAACATTACTACAAAACAGCCACCTGCACACAGAACCTGTACGGCTAGATACCGATGAGATTATCTGGCTATTGGTCCCTGACATCCAGCTCCATCAGGAGCTCTCAGTTCAGACAGCAGCGTGCAGCAATGCCAGTGGGTGGAAGCGTCAGCTGCTGTCGCTCAGACTGGTACCCGCAGAGAGGACAGAAAGTGAAGTGAAACGCCGTTGCATGCCCTGGACGAACACATTCTGCCCATGGGGATCCTCCTCTGAAGACTGATGAGACTAGAACAAATCTAGGAGACCGTGAGGCCAACATGCTGGCCATCAAGTGACGCTAGCAGCATCCAACCTGGGCATAAGGAGAAACCACATAGGGGGTCTTAAGCAGGTCTCTGCATGGATATTATCAGCCATCCTGCAGGCTCAGAAGACATCTAGCTTCTCCTTGCAGCTGATAGAATCCTGATAAACTGCACTAAAGGGGGCGGACATACAGCATGGTTAACAGCATTAAAAGCACAGAGCAAACAAACAGGGTTTGAATTACAAGGCACTGAAAGACGTTTACATTTGAAAAGCTACCACGTCCCTTATTTTGCTGAGCCCATGAAAGGAAGAAGCTAAATTATGGTAAAATCCTGACCCAAAATGACGGGGCAAGGGAATCAGCAAAGGAAACTTAGGGACTTTGCAATGCAACAGATATTAGGTAGTTACTGAGCAGTGGAGCTGGGAGTGCAACAGTAGCTACAGAGACTCATCAGCCTTCAGATCCATCCTGCGGGGTTTGCTCTTGGGATTTATTTAACTACCGCAGCCTCTTAAAAGAAAAGCAGAACCTCTACAATTGGCTTTAGACATTGGAGGGGGGAAGAGTCATTTGGAAAAACTACTAAAAAAAGGCACTTAACAAAAATGGTCTTAGAAATACACTTGTTTTGTTCAAACCCAATGCCTCAGCCTCGTTCAGCTGCTCCACGTTTGATGGCCAGCTATGTACATGCTCTAGAGCTGGGTTCACAGTCACACGGAGCACGAAGAGAAAGCCGCCCAGGAAATCGACCTGTCTTCCTTTCCCGCTTTTGTAGAAAGGCGAACCGCATTCACAGCAATGCCAGAGACAAGCTATTCCTCTCCCCACGTTTCTAAAACAACAGAAGTTTAAAAAAAAAAAAGACCCCACACAAAAGGAATAAAACAAAGCATTGGACAGGCAGCTCAGAGAAAATTCCAATGCCGGAGAGAAAAAAACCAAACAGGCTACCAAGTTATGCTTAGGTAACTAATGTTGAGTTGGCACAGATGGACTAGCCCCTGAATACAGAGGGCATGACATACTTAAGGATAAAGACAGCTTTAAAATCGATGTGGTAAGTTTCCTCGGTTAGCTTTTTCAGAGTGCAACATGGGAAGATTCAGCAGAACACACTGCCCCTTCCCACCACCTGTTTAGAGAAAACTACACAGTAGTCCGTAAGCGGCGATTTTTAACCACCCTTCCAGGCAGACGTTTCAATATGAAAAGGTGAGGAACAATTACACTGTTGCTTCAAACCACTACACCCTGCGCCGAAATTTTAAACTGTGCAGGCCGTCTTTGTTTGCTGCTCCCACGTGCCAGCCATCTCCCAGAACTCACAGACGATGATCACATGCCCACAACACACATGCAAGTCTTCAGGCAGTGAATGCTATACAGCGGCAGAGCCAGTTTGGGCATTCAGAGGACGGATGCTGCTGTGAGCAAAGGGGAATTGGACTGTTCGTTCAGCATGTGGTCGAATTGCTGCCATCAGCGGCTCCTACTCAGTTAAATGCATCTTTAGAAACAATAAGTTAAACACCATGTGTAAGCAGGAGCGGTGACAATTTCTAAGCCCCTTCCCTGCATTTATTAGGCTACAGGCATGTGCTAACAGCAGGTTGGTGGCTGGACGTTCTGAACGAGTTCTGAACAGCATCTTCGTTCCCGATGTATTTAGAGAGATCCATAAATAAAAAGCTAATTTCCATAAACGCCAAATGAACATTCACAGAAAGGCATCCGATGTATTTGCTGAGTAAGGCGCTGAAAGCAGGGTCCTCCCGTCTCCTTAGCAGCGGCATCCATAAAGGGCGGGGGGGGGGGGGGGTGGTCTCTTTAGTGTTTCTAGGGCAGAGTGAGAACAGCGAAGAGCTCTCATTTCAATCGCTCAATGAGTCCCTGTGTGAGGCCAAGGTGCAAAAGCTGCGATCTGGAAAGAGTTGCTAGATGAGGGAAGAATCCCAACAGCTTCTCCCATGACAGTTCCAGGAGGCTGGGGACTACTAGCCACATCTTAAACAAGGAGCCAGTCCGTTTGTTTTCGTGGATGTTGACCACCCCTCCGTGGACGTACATGCAGCCAGCCTGGGTGGAAACAGGACAAGAGGGAAGTTACTCATGTTCACACACAGAACTAAGCTTACCACGTGTGGGGCTACACTTCTGAAGCTCATGTGCTTCTCAGAAGAACCCTGCCATCCTCATCTGGAGAGAACCAAGCATTTGGACAAGCAGCAATGGGCTTACTCTGCAGCAAGGGAGATTTAGGAAAAGCTTGTCAACTATCAGGTTAGTTAAGCACTGGAGGTTGTGGGATCCCCATCATTGGAGGTTTTTAAGAACAGGTTGGACCAACACCTGTCAGGGATGGTCTAGGCATAGCTGGTCCTGCCTCAGTGTGAGAGGATGGACTAGTTGACCTCTTGCGGGCTGCTCCAGCCCTACATTTCTATTTGATCTTTAGAACCAAGGAGTCATTCGGATTTCAAGGAAAGTTATAATGTGCTGTGCTACTGATGAGCCAGCAGAGAGAGCACAACTTCTACCCTGTTCCGGGGATGGGACGGACACCAATGTTGCTGATCTAGAAAAGCGATGTAATTTTGAGGACCATTAGAAGAGACAGCTTGTCAGATTACGTATAGGGGAGCCTATTCCTGCAACCATTATTCCCAAATGTCCCACTAAAGTCACTCAGATTTATGTCTAAGGCCTGGTCCACACTAACCCCCCACTTCGGACTAAGGTACGCAAATTCAGCTACGTTAATAACGTAGCTGAATTCGAAGTACCTTAGTCCGAACTTACCGCGGGTCCAGACGCGGCAGGGAGGCTACCCTGTCGATACCACGTACTCCTCTCGCCGAGCTGGAGTACCGGCGTTGACGGATCGATCCGGGATCGATTTATCGCGTCTAGACCAGACGCGATAAATCGATCCCAGAACATCGATTGCCTGCCGCTGGACCTGGAGGAAAGCGTAGACGTACCCTAAGGGATGAATGACCAGGACAAAGGTAAAGCTTAGAGAGACAAGGTGGGTGAGGTACTATCTTTTATTGGACCAACCTCTATTGGTGAGAGAGACAAGCTAGAAAGGTAAAGCCTGTAAGAGAATCTTACAAATACAATAACATGTATTAATATCACCAGAAGTCCCGAGAGTGTCCCTTTAAGACTGTGTCACAGTCAGGGCTTTGGAGCAGAGCCCGGAGCTGGAGCGCGGACCAGTAGGTTTTTGCCTGGAGCTGGAGCGGAGCCGGAGCATAGCAATTCAAAAATTTGATTGCTCCAAATCCCTGGTCACAGTGAGTCATTTAAACGATTCCAAATCATCCTTGTGCAATAGCTCGTTAGGAACGGATCCTACAGCTGATCCAGGATTTCTAATTCCTGGATTGCCCAACAGGTTTGGAGGTTGCGTTCTGATGCTTTCCCACTTAACGCCGTGAATGTCCCCTCAAGACACTTATACACCTGCTCGCCTTCAACTCCCTGCAGTCCCTCAGTGGGGCAAGCCCACAGCAGTGGGTTGGTTTTTCTAGAC